GATGCACTTCTGTATAGCTGTATTGAACTGTGATCTTTCTAAACCTGTATAAGTTTCACTTTTATAAGATCCCTGAGGAGTACCTTTTGATGGTTCATATGCATCGAATAATTGATTGTCTAGGGTTAACCCTTCAAAGTTCCACATAGAATAAGAACCTTCTTTACATTTTTCAAAGCACATTCCAGAGAACAATTTCAGATTCTTACACCATAAAATACAACTACACTGTGGAAAAAATATCTCACTTGCCATTTGAGGAATTTTAATTTCATATAGCCCTCTCCTTTAAGCTGTAACAAAAGATACTTGGAGAATTTCTAGGTAAAGAGATGAATGTAAAAGTTATTATCACCGTGTTTAAACTATTTACATGTCTTGATGAGTGATCACTATATATTAGGATGTTTAGACAAGAAAATTTGATGTAATTTTTGTTGGAAGATCACCTTGGAATTGAATAGGGCTTCTTATGATTGACAATTGTAAACTCACTTAAGGCAAACATCACACTGTTAAGCATTGCATGATTTTTCAAAAGTTTCTCACACAACTTAATGAGTCTTCCATGTTTATATTTAATTTGAATATCACAGACAGGTTACATATTAGATGTACATTCTAACTTGAACATACCAAGTGGAATATGCATTACGAAAATCTAACATTCAAAGTTTGCATGTGTAATTTATAAATAATTTGTAGAACTACGTAGGATTGTCGATGGTGATGGCTAAACCCAAGTGCCTTTTACATTTGATTTTCCAAAACATTTGTTTTCTTATTGCCGATTTCAATCCTTGTTAATTTAGTTGTTTTTATTGTTTGTCTTTTACTTTAATTCACAATTACAAATCTTTTCTAAATCTTGTGTTGAATAGTTAATTAACAGTGGGTTAAAATACAAGTTATTCATATCAATCCTTATAGAAAACGATTTTAATTGAGCTTTCTTTACTATGATAACCTTGTTATTTTGTAAATATTTTATGTTTTTGAGCTTTTTTATACTATGATAATCTTGTTCACGTATAAGTATTTTTAAATATTTTTTACCTTAATTTTGCAGGTGGTAAAAATTCTATGCAGTAGTACATAGGTAGTCTCCACATCAAATAATTATTACTTACATGATGTGGTTCGTGAGTGGGTTATATATTACAAACATATATATTAATTAAATATTTATTGTGCACAACCACGGGCAATATCTCTTTCGTACAATACGGCATCAGTTATATATATATATATTTTTATAGAAATAATAGTGTTAATGAGTTAAATGGTTAATTTTTAAAACAAAGAAAAATCAGTGAGAATCGAACCCATACTATAGCATTGATATGATTATTTTCCAAAATTGCAGTAAAGTGATGACATCTGCCAATATCAATTATATTTGGTTCCGCTGATTATTTTTCTTGACTACTTGTGGTTCTCATAACAATAACCAAAACAATAACTAAAATAAACACGGTTATATTTTCTCTCCGAAAGTGTTCTCATGATACTATAAAAATTATTATTCAATATGAAAAGTATGAACATTTAGAAGTCGTCTTTCAATATTTAAGTTGTTCTTTGTGTAAATGTTTTTGAAAATAATATAGAGAACTCTTTACGAAAACGTCTCCAACTACCTGCATGCACTTTTCTTGTCAAAATAGGTCATCTAATTTTGTTTACTTGTTGCTTAGTTGGTTGTTTGATTTTCTCATACCATATCAAGAAATTTTATATCCAAGAGGATCCACATTCAACCCTTCCCCCTCCCAGACATGTTTATATATATTTCCATGGATCTTGGAGAAACTATTTTGTATTAAAAGTATCATAGAAACAACATTGGATTATGGAGAAATTCTACAACACCATTAAATGGAGTAGCTTTATAAATCTTAGAACGCCACTGTACTCGACAAGTTTTATGTTAGTTCCAAGTACTCCATGTCTTTTCTCAAAGTCCCTTTGCAAGTCTTCCTTTACCCCTTTTACCATGAGCCTATCTCACAATCGCATTTTTTCACTGGAGCATTTGTAGGTATTCGGTTCACATGTCCAAACCACCTTAACAACTCATCTTATCTTCAATTGCAATCACTTCTACTTTACCTCCGATATCCTTAATCTTAATCTCATACTTTACATCTAACGAAGCATTCTCATCTATGTTACCTTATTTTTTACACGTTTTGATGCTTAACCATCCAACATTCCGTGCCATAAAGTATTGTTGGCTTTATTGTCGTCTTTTAAAATTTTACCTTAAACTTTAGTGGCATACAACGGTTGCACAACACATCCAATGACTATTCCACTTCATCCATTCAACTTGTATTCTATAGTTGAGATCCCTTTCCAATTCTTGGTTCTTTTGCAAGATAAATCCAAGGTAACAAAAGCTTTCACTCTTTTGTACTTCCTAATCTCCAGTCATCACCCCTATCATATTCTCACCTCAATTCTCATTGAACTTGCACTCCACTCTATCTTTGACCTACTTAGAATCCAGAACTTCCTTCCAAAGGTTAAGCTTCGCATTCACTCCGTCAAGCGTTTCATTTATTAGCACTACATCATCTGCGAAAAGCATACATCAAGAGATATCATCTTGAATATATCTCGTTAATTTATTCATTACCAATGCAAAAAGGTTAAGGCTTAAAGATTAGCCTTGGTGTAACCCTATGGTAATGGGAAAGCTTTTAGTTTGTCCTTTATGAGTTCTTATTACAGTCATTGCTTCATTATACATATCATTTATTGATTGAATATATGATACTTGTACTTCATTCTTCTCTGGAATTCTCCAAAGAATTTCTCTTGGGACCCTGTTATACGTTTTTTTCAAATCTACAAAGACCATGTGCAAATCATTTTGAATATCTCTATGTCGTTTCATCAATCTTAGTAAGAGATAAATTGCCTCAATAGTCGAGCGCCTTGACATGAATCCGAATTTATTGTTTGAGAAATGTATCTCTTTTCTCAGTCTATGTTCTATTATTCTCTCGCAAAGCTTCATTGTATGACTCATTATCTTAATACCTTTATAATTCATGCAATTTGTATGTTGCCCTTATTCTTGTAGATAGGGATCAAAGGACTTTTTGTCACTCATTTGGCATCTCTTTGTTTTCAAAATCTTATTGAAAAAGTTTATGAGCCATACTATACCCGTCTCTTCTAAGACCTTCCACACTTCGATTGGTATATCGTTGAAGTTTTCCCTTAAATCCTGTATATATCGTTGAGACCCACTGCTTATTTATGCTTCATCTTTTTCAAAGCTAAAATCACTTCCTCTTTCCTAATTCGGCGGTAGAAAGAGTAAATTTTACACTGTTCCAAGTTACTCAACTCACGTAGAGAAGTAATCCACTGCATGTCCTTCATTGAACATATTATAAAAATAATCTCTCCATCTCTCTTTAATTGCATTCTCCATAGCTAGAACATTTTCATTCTCATCGTTGATGCATCTTACTTTACAACATTCCTTTATAGCCTTAACCTTTTCTTGTACCTCCTTCTTCCACCATCATTATTCTTTTTGGTATAGAGCACAACTCTTGAACTCCTAAACGTATCATAAATCTTTACTGAGTATGACATTTGGATCTATAAATTTTTGAATGTCAGAAAGTTTCGAACTAGTAAACTTAAATAGATTATATATTTAGACACCAAAAGAATCAATAATTTATCATAATTTTTCCAATCAATCTACATATGCAATAATTTTACAAAAGTACTCACGGAAATTAGTCATCGATTAAATTCTTTCATATAATACACCTTTTTTTTTCTTGTTCAATATAGTACATATAAAAACAGAAAAAAGTTATAATTTGCGTTCTCAACGTTTTCTTACATTCTTTTAGTCCATAAAATTAGATTTGACTAATGGGTGGAGGTTTGCCTTCTAATGTTATAAACATTATTCAATAAGAAATGGTACAAACATACATTAATTAGTAGAATTCCTGTCTTTTTTTCTTTTGTCAAATAGTAGAATTCCTCTTCAAGTTATAAGTTACTAGCATTTGCCTACACATTTTGTGTGTATGAACATATTTTTTTAGAAAATGAGAAGGAGAGAGAGAGAGAGAGAGAGAGAGAGAGAGAGAGAGAGAGAAAGAGAGAACGTGGGGGGGGGGAGTTGTAGGTTTTTGTTTTTGGTCTTTTTTTTTGTTTTTTTAATTTTAAATATTAGAAATATTTTAACATCACATGTAGGTGAGGTTTCAATAAAAAACAGTAAAATTTGGACCTATGAAATTACATTATTGCCCATCATTTTTATTTTATTTTTTTGTGATAGAAGACTAAATTATCTTTTCACCCTCTTTTAGTTGACAAAAAGATTTTCATTAATTAATAGAGATTCTTTGTGTAAAGTATTTTTTATAAATAAATATAAGAGATCTATTTTTGAAAACATCCAACTCCATGGACCTTTATGATTAATTGTATTTTTTTTATAAATAAATATGAGATCAATTTATGAAAATATCGAGCTCCGTGGACCTTTATGATTAGTTGGTCCTATGATTTTGTTTGCTTGTTGACTGGTTGTTATTTCTTTGATTTTCTCATTAACATATCAATGTATCTTATATCCAGCAGGACCTACAGAATATGAATACAAAACAAACGGCTCTTATATAATTAATTTTGACTGCATAAAATTTAAGAAATAAAAGACATAAAGACACTCTGGTTTTGATGTCAAGGTAATCATGCATCAAATTGGAAACAACTTAAAACACTGTTTGAAACAAAATAACATAATACAAAACTACTTAAATAGTTTAAATAGTTGGACGGAAATTAAAGGGGCGGGATCTGATCATCAACATAGCCGAAATGTTGGTTTGACCTAAGAACCATGGAGCCGTCTGCATGGCGTCCATGTTGTTTAGATCAAACGTTTGTGTTTCCATTGCTGCATGCATGTTCTGATCAGTTGAGGGTGCTAGCACTTGTGTACGTGAAACTTAGGGTTGGTTCCTCTCCGCCAGATTCTCCTCCTTCCGGCTCTTGATCTGTGCGACAATCTCAGCTGTCACGCACTCCTTGATCATACACTCCATATCGTTCAAATCGTTTAAGTCCAAGCCAGTCAGGGGCCTTCCAGTAAGGCACTGGTTCATGAGCATCCGAATTTGCTTCTCCCGGTTCTCTTTCTTCAGATTGTTCAGCTTCTCCTGCTGCTTTTCAATCCTCTGCTTCAAAAACATTTCATGCGTCACCATCTTCTTATTCCGCTCTGCCTCGGGCATGCTCCTAAACTTGGTGATGAGGCGTTGCGATTCCAAAAGATTGGGCCAGACAACAGGTTGAGACTCATATGGACTGTAAATAATACCACATACTGGAACATCACAAAGAATATTGATTTCATGCATCTTCTTAATGAAGCCGTTCTTCCTTTTATTGTATGACGTTTTTCGACTTGCGTCGTTCATGATGTAGGCTAGCTTCACCTTCTTCCTCCCAGCCATGATTTTTTCAAAGCGAGAAACTTTTGAGAGAAACGGAAACTAGGGAAAAAGGAGGGAAGAAAGCGTTAGTGACTTTTTAGGGTTTTAGTTGCTGTGCTTTAACGCTAAACCGCCGATGCTATTTATAGTAGTTTGCAAGGGCTTACCTTAGTCAATCATGGAAGATTTTATCCTGAAAAATAAATTTAATATTTTTACAATGAAGAAATACAATAATTAATGTAGACTATTTTGGTATATATGTACATGTTTTGATGAATTTTTGTTTGATATTATCCAACCTTTGGTTTTATATGGAAGTTTGTCTGGAAATTTTCATACATAGATGCATGTATGAAAACGCAAATTTTTCTGTATGACTTAACCATTCATTAAATAGAGTTATTTTATCGCTATGCATTTGGTAATTACCACTAATAAGGTAAATCCATTTTTTAGGGAATTTTTGTTTGTCTCTCTTTTCTGGCACACATTACGAATATACTATAAAAATAAAGACAGCTTAAATTTCTAATTTTACCTTTTTCGTATTTAAGAGAGGGAATCAAAACATCTTAAGCTAAAAACTCTCAAGCGCGCCGGTCATGTTGGCCACCCATCCCTCCTCTGAATGCTAACCTACCACTCCGAACGAAATGATCTACTTGAATTTTCACCGTGACTAAAAAGAATATTAGGAGTGAATTTTGCTTGCTTTGGATTTTGAGGAACCTAAACGGTACGACATGAAATTATTAATCATCGAAATTTTTTTTGGAGGCGGCGAAAGCCTGACACCAACTACAATAACATGGTGTCCTGAATTAAATTAGAGCGCACCTCATGCCAAACAAAAAGGCAACCCAAAATAAAGAAAATTTGGCGTCGATGGTTCACCGTTTGCTTCACGACGAATTTAGGGTTCTAACAAAGCCACAAAAACATTAATTGTCCTCATATTACAAACATAGCCAAAGTTTTGATAATTAAAACATGTAATAGCATGAATAACTAAGTAACACTACGTAACTTATTATTTGCGAAAATGAAATTTTCCCTAAATAAATAACATTAAGTACATCATTCAAATTGCTATTAGCAATTGTGATTGTTTTACCCACTGTTCTAAAAATCTCTGCCTAGCACTGCTTAGGCCCCGCCTAGGCACTAGGCGGTTGGACATCACCCCGATTAATGCTTAGGCGTTTGAAAATTAAGAAATGGCGCTTAGACCTGTTGAGGCACCCGTCTAACCCGCCCAGACCTACTTAGACATCTACCTAGGTTGCAACTCACTTAGATAGAAAATAGATAACTTTCCTTTTGTATTTTATTGTTTCCATGCAATAAATTGTATGAGACTTATTGAACACTTAAATAAACACACATTATACGATTGCTCCCCATATTTTCATTATGTTCCAATACTTCATAATATATGTCATTCTAATTTCTAGTGTATGATAAAATTATATATATTTTAAGTATAAACAAACACTTATTTACACGAAATACAATAGATTTACTTAAATCTGCCTAGTCCACCTAGGCGCCCGCCTAGGCTCCACCTAGCCACCTAGGCACTAGACCCCAACCCGCCGCCCGACTAGCGCCTAGTGTCCACATGAGTGGATATATGGGAATCAAAATATGTTGAATAACTCATGTTATGCTCATCTACACCTCTCATAAGTTCGAGCTTGATTGCAAGACCCACCTGTAGAGCAAGGACAAAAGTCGGCCTTAGTGATCTAACAGTGCCGAATGGAATGACCATCGCTCAACGGATAAAAGTTACACTAAGGATACCAGGTTGATCTTCCACAATAGCTCATATCGACGAGAAGGTTTGGCACCTCAATGTGATCATAACCACTGCCTACATTCCACGAAATTGTGCACCACAAATAGGAGCTAATAAAAAGACATGTGATCCCATAGAAAGAATCATTGAGTCTTCATCTTTCCGGACAACACATACAAAGAGACCTGCCAATAAATAGTTAAGTAATTAGTGAACTTATGAGGGATGTTTAGACTTAGTTTTTTTTCCTCTTCCATCTCCCATTTATCAATCATAAAATTAGTTCCTTAAAAAAAACACGAAAGGGCTACCACTTGATACAATGGTAATATGATTTTAGATATCGGCGATTTTTTTTATAGAGATAATTTTCGAGGAAATATCTTAAAGATATATAGGGAGTTCGATTATTGAAATACACTGAGCACCACAAGAGTCGCTCAAATGATTTTCTTTGAAGGATTCTTCAACGAGAGAGGATTTTATATATTTACATTAAGAGGTGAAAAATAAATTAATTTCAAACTCATCATTCATAAGGTACAAACCTATTATATCTTAGTAAAAAGTAAAGAGGAATCCCATTATAATGTAGCACTATTGGCTGAATAATGTGAAATACAAACCAAAATTACCAAACAACTCTTATATAATTACACAGAACTACCTCAACTATTGGTCATGAACAGTTTCATACCTCATCTTTAAAAAGTTTCAATGTCATACCTCATCTACGAATTTGTTACAATTTCATACCTTCCGTCAGTTGTCTGTCAATTCATTCGTTAAATGCTAACGTGGCTTGTGACGTGGCATGTGACGTGGCACACTTTCTATTAAAAAAACTAATAAAATATTATTAAAAATAAAAAAAAATCATTTAATATTTTTTAAATATAATAATAATTATTATTATAATTAAAATAATAATAATAATAATAAATAAATAAATAAATAACCCACCCATGTTCATCTTCCCCCCCCTCCGCTCCACCACTTTCTCCCCCCACCCCCTACAACCCAAAAAGAAAGAAGAAGAAGAAGAAGAAGAGAGAAAAAAAAAAAAAAACCCATCTTCATCTTCATCTTCCTCAACCCCCCATTCGCTGCAACCCACCCCTTTCTTCCCCTTCCTGTTTTCCTCTTCCCTCCTCCTCCGCACCCACCCTCTTCCCTCCTCTACACACCCCACTCCTTAAATTCACACCCATTCCCCCTATTTTCTCCGTGCCCAATTTCTCCACTCGCGGAATCGGCGAAAGATGGGATTTGGGTTGTAGGGAAAGTGGGATCGGGGAAGATGAAGATGGCTTTTTTTTTTTTGGGTTGCAGGTAGTGGGTGCGGAGGAGGAAGGAAAGGGAAGACAGGAGGAGGAAGAAATGGGTGGGTTGCAAGGAAGGGGGGTCGGGGAAGATGAAGATGGGTTTTTTTTTTTTTTTTTTTCCCTTCTTCTTCTTTCTTTCTGGGTTGCAGGGGGTGGGGGGAAGACAAACATGGGGTGGGTGTTTTTTTTTTCTTCTTCTTCTTTCTTTCTAGGTTATAGGGGGTGGGGGAAGAAGGGGGTTGCCCGGGGGGGGGGGGGAAGACAAACATGGGGTCGGTTTTTTTTTTTTAATTTTTAAATAACTTTTCTTTAATTAATTATTATTTTAATAATTAACAATTATTAAATGATTTTTTTTAGTTTTAAATAATATTTTATTAGTTTTTTAATAGAATGTGTCACGTCAGCATTTAACGGAGGAATTGACAGACAACTGACGGAAGGTATGACATTGCAACAAATTCGAAGATACGGTATGACATTGAAACTTTTTAAAGACGAGGTATGAAACTGTTAATGACCCAATAGTTGAGGTAGTTCTGTGTAATTTATCCTTAATTTTTCCTACGTAAAATTCAAGAAATTAAAAGATAGAAACTCCGTGGTTTTGATGTCAAGGTAAACAAGCATCAAAATAGAAGCTTAAAACACGGTTGAAGCAAAATAACGAAAATAAATACAACAAAAACTTCTTAAATAACTCAAGGGAATTTAACGGGGTTATAAGACCACCTAACACCATCTAACATGGTGGTCCTAATCCTTAAACCAACATGATCCATATCACCAGATTGTGGGGTCGGCACGTCCCCAGTGGACCATGGAACCACCTGTATGGCGTTCTGAATGTTTTCATCAATTGTCGCTGAAGTCACTGACGGTTGTGCACCTAAGGGTTGATTCATCTTCGCTAGCTCCTCTTCCTTCTTCTCTGAATCGCGACAACTTCCTTCAATCTCCCGTCGATCATCCACCCTATTTCCTGTATATCAGTGAACGCCAAGCAGTTCAGGGGCTTCCCAGTGAGGCACTGGTTCATGTAAAGATAGCTGAAATCTGGTTTTAAGAAAAGAGATAGAAGAGATAGAAGAGATGAGATAGAATTGTATTGATTGAGAGAACGTTTTTCTTCATTGGAGAACATATGATTTACATAGTTCACTTATATAGAAGTTTACAAACTTGCAGCCCAAGTACTCTTCTTTAACTACCTCCTTATACCAACTAACTCACTCTAGCAATATTCTAACTAACCAACTATATGTATAACCACCTATTTAATCTTGTGACAAGTGGCTTTGTCTTGACCATACATAACTTCCTCACATGGATCATTTTTATTCTTCTTACATCCCCCCTCAAGCTGATGCTCGAGAACACTAAGCATCAGATTGTGGCAATGGTGTTGAAATAATGGGGCAGACAGTCCCTTGGTTAGAATATCAGCTGATTGATCGGTCGAAGACACATGATGAACTTGAAGATCACCCCGAGTGACTCTCTCACGGACAAAATGATAGTCGATCTCGATGTGTTTGGACTTGGCATGAAACACAGGATTAGTAGAGAGGGCAATAGCTGAGATATTGTCATAATAGATCATCGGAGAGGCATGTAAAGGTATATGCATATCACAGAGTAATTGGCTAATCCAGGCAAGTTATGCAGCTGTGATTGCCAAAGCTCGATACTCAGCTTCTGTGGATGATCGAGATACCGCGTGTTGCTTCTTTGATGCCCATGAGATGGGGTTAGAACCAAGAAAGACAACAAAACCTGAAGTAGATCGTCGATCATTTGGATCACCTGCCCAATCTGCATCACTATAAGATTGCAGATGCAATGGTCCAGGTTTAAAATGAATGCCATAAGTTGATGTCCCTTTGAGATAA